AGTCAACGTGTCTGTGGTGGCTTGGAAGGCGTTTATGTAGCGATCAGGAACGGGCGCTTGCGAAGAGATGGAGTTGTGGAGATGGAGGAGAGGGAGGGAGAGAAGGAAAGGAGGTGGATCAGTGGTCACTTGAAGGTTTAGTCTCTGCAATATATTCTGAATTGGCTTCAAGTGTTTCTGATTCAAAGGATGTATGGGAGGACAATTACTGGAGGTAGAAGGTGGGATGTGAGTAAAGATTGGGACAGTAATGGATTGTACTAAGTTGAGGGGGCGATGAAAGAAGTGTAGGGGACAGGAAGAAGTGTGGGAGGGGGAACAGAATGAGGCGAGAAACCTGGGACTGGTGGTAGAAGGGGAGAAACTTGGGTGGGGATGGCATAGTAAGAGAGGAGGGCTGACACCTCACAAACTCTTGTAATTGAGCCAGATAGAGGGAAGAACTTGGTAAGAGATGGAATGGTAAAGTGCGGAGGTGGAAGGAAGGGAAGGAAAGGGGCAAATGAGATTTGATCATGGGTTTTTTTTTGGACTCTGAGAAGTGTGGGGCGATTGGTAATTAGTGTGTCATACGAGGTCTTGTCGATACTGGGCGCTTGTAGGAAAGGAAGTGAAGATGTGGGAGAAAAGTCTGAGTTGTAGTCGGGATGTCAGAGCAAGGACAGCAAAAGGATTAGATGCCTGAGTGGCTATGGGACGGGGTAACATCAGAGGCAGGTTGCAGAACGATGGGAACCACAAGAAGTGGGGGGATGTTTTGAAAAAACACCTGAGAATAAGAAACTTGGGGTTTAGTTCTCCCTTGGAGGCGGAGATGAGTAACTGCCATAGCCATAAGGGAGACCTTCTGCCTCTTTGAGGCAAGGTATTTCACGTTCATTTAAGTAGACCTGGCAACGGCGGGAGTACGAAGGGTGAGATTATTACAATTAAGGCAAGAGGAGGTTGAACTGCAAGATGTATTAGAATGGTCGTCGGCACCACTGACTGGGCATTGGCCATAGATCTGCATATTTCTGCTGGGGACCAAAACGGCCAGCAATTTTTACTTTGCGGTGTAGGTTTCACTTTCGACTTGTAAAACCGATGTCCACGCGACATATACAGAGGACGGGAGATTCTCGGCTGTCAAAAGTTAAACGAGCCACATTGCATGCGGAACGTCTCCGCCCATGGGCAGGATGGAACATTAGTGTTCTTACTTTCGAGGATTGGGTGATCCTGGAGTTCGCTGTTCAAGAATGTCATTGCCACATGACTGGAAATTATGTTGGACTATGGTATGGGGCAGAAAATGACAGTACCACTACAAGAATTGAGAGAAAGATCGTTTTTCAATAGTGATAGGAGGAGTTCGATATTTGAAGGGAGAAAGATCATGAGCTTGGGTAGCATTCTGGTCAGTGACGATGCAACGTTAACGCTCTTGAGGCATGAATGAAATATCTTACCAAACATGACGCAGCAGCGCTTTGCCAATACTTGGTCAGAAAGGTATCGGCAGAAGAAGTCGGTCTTAAGTAAGTATTTTGTCCATTTTGTGGTCCAAAACAGAGCGGTGAAGTGGATGTGCGCTCTTGACGTGTCGGTCTTTTCCGAGGTAGAATGGGAAGGTAACGAAGGAGCATCATCCAGGAGGGATTTGACATTGGGCGTTTAGGAGTAGGACCGGAGTTGGTCTGGCGTGAGTGAATGGGCGGGCCCAATTCGAAAATTGCCGTACCGTTAGGTGGAGAGTGCCGAAGAATTGTCAAAGGAGTGCGGAGTTCACGACAAAGCAAAGGAGTCTGACGAAGCCCCAGTACCTGAAACGGGTGAGAAATACAGCCACCAGCAAGAGGTACAGGCAGGCATCAGGAATTGTGTCGATAAGAAGAGTGGTCTAAACACAAGGCACGGGTCAGAATGGGGTGAGGTATCAGAGAAGAGCGGCCACGGGGGTAGTGGGTTCATGGATTGGGTCTCCTGGTTAGGTTAATCCTTTGATTTTTGTTTTTAAGAAAAAAAAAAGAAAAAAAAAGAAAAGAAAATAAAAATAAAAAAAGAATATAAAAAGGAGGGAGCATGGAGGAATAGTTCCTGGAGGAATTGATAGGGCCGGAATATCACCCTTAGCGCCCAAGAGGACCTCAGCACCGCTAGTAGCGCAGATGCAGCATGGAAAACCGTGCCATACACTACCCTTCGTAGCTGACAGTAAACCAGAAATCCGGGAATAGCAACCCTAACATCTGCCAAGCTACTCGGTTGGACAAAAGAGTGGGGCGCCCGCTGATAATCCGCCGCAATGCTTTCTCCTTCGGCCCACCACCCCCGAAAATCGAAAGGTGGCTTCCAGAGATACACCCGATCGCCCGAAAAGACACCCCAAAAGCTACTCAGGGATACCGGAGAGGTGATCGGGACTTCCCCAGGCGATCAGATTTCACGGCAATCTACGGCCCACGCAAGACCCTAACGAATGGGATGGACCCCGGTTATCCTTTCCTCTACATAGGAATTAGCGCGCCTGTGGGAGAAAGAAATCCAAAGGCCAAAAAGAGGAGGGCAAAAGGGGAGGGGAGTGGGGAGGGGGAGGAGGAATAGGGATAAGGGAGAGGATGGGTAGGGGAGGGATGATTGGGGGGTATTAGGTTTCGGTCTGAGGTAGGATACAGGAAGGTCTAAATTACTCAGACCAAAGAGCCTCTTCACAATACCCAAGGTGCCCCCTTGAAGAGATATGAGAAATAACATCCTTGGTTATGAAAAATCCCATGGGCTTGGCCTTTCAGTAGATACATGTTTTTTGTCATGAAAGCATGGTTAATTTGGGGCCTTTATGAGATGTTACTCAGAGCAAAATTATCCCAAAATACCTCATGGATATTTCCCACAATGATATTCATATCAAGGTCTTTACCTCTGCACAAACCTATTAAAACTTTCATAAAATACGTAATGCATTGGTAAGTATTCAATAAAAATGTGTATGTACAATATTATTATAATCAAGGAGGAGCACTAAACCTGTAAGATTATGCAGTGCCTGTGGAGGGGGGGGATGTGGAAGGTATTCAGGCTTAATTCAGGGAACTGGAGCACAGATCCAATGCCCTAGATCATGAGCCCCTCACCAGCATCATACAAAATAATAGTTTTCTTCAATTACAAATTCTATTGTCAATCTTAACATTTACTACAATAACTTTTCTAAGATAATATTTATGTTCGTTATTATAATCAATAAGTGCTAAGTCCAGAAGGGTCACACAGCATTATTATTATTAAAGACAACTCAAATATGCTGCCTGCTAATTTATACTGTGTTGAAAGATGACTATAGTACACCTCAAACTTAAGACCTAATTCTTTTATATTTTACAAGCACTGAATGACCCTTCTAAGTTTTATTCCTTAACATTATTTTAAGGCTTTTTTTTATTTGATTTTACATCTCTAAACAAGCTTTATGACTAAAGTTTATTATGGTATTAACAAAATGCTTAACCCATATAGGTAATTTAATGCTCTCAGTTTGTGTTCTCAAGTAATTTTTATTTAGACAGTGCAAGGCCAGAAAGTGATAAGAACAACTGCAGAGAGGAACTTGATAGAGACAGCAAATTTATTCGAGTAATTGGGTCAACAAGGCCATTGTGTGGGTGAAATGAGATAGGACACTGTAAGAGGCCTATTTGGTTCTTCCATTGGCCTCTTTACACTAGACCTGTAACCTAACTTGTTTTACATGAACAGATCACAGAAGGACTGGCAGGGCCCTGCTCTTTCAATTCACTCACACTTACCTCGCTATACTTGTATAAATTTCCTTGTGTATACCTTTATATTGACTAATTACATTCATGAGAGAGCACTAAACCTGTAGGGTTCACACAGTTCCTGATTGAAGAAGCCTGTCCACAAGTGAAATGTCTAATGTTTCTCTCTGCAATTGTGTTTTTTCACCAAATACTACACCTATTTTCTCAAACAATTCCTTTGATCATATTGAAGGGAAACCAGAGTTACATACTTGTATGGTACTGGTATTATTATTATAATAAAAAAAGAAGCACTAAGCCTACAAGGGTCACTGATAATATGCAAGGTTTATGTGGATGAAAAAAATTTTGCCACTTGTTTTATGCACAATATCATTTGAGAAAAACATTTTGTTTAACAAATAATAGTGGTAATCTGGAACAAGAACTTTTGATAAATTATAATTGTAGAACATTTTCTGACATTAAATTGCATTACTCCAAGACAGAAATCTCAAGTTTTAATTTGGTAGAGAAATCATAACACTGAAGTATTGTAGTAGTGAAATAATAATCAATGCATTTATCACATTATATGAATCTGCTTGCAATGAAACAGAGGAAAACTTCAAATAATAATAAAAAAAAAAAAAATGATCACTACTGCAAGACAAACAAAATGGGAATGTATAACCACTGATACTTGCTTTACAAATTTAGATAGTAGTAACTTAAGTGCCACATTGAAGTCTCTATTAACTTCTTCCTTCAGCAAGGGCCACAGGAAACAGCAGCCAAAATATAAAATAGAGCAAACATCTAAGTTTTCTAATTAGATCCGAATTTTTTATGAACAATTATAGAAGTAATGAAGTGAAAATGCCTTTTTATCAAAACATTCTAATGGTCTACTCAACTACAATACAATACACATATTCAACCCAAGTTCAAAGATTTTTTTTTTTTTGTTTTTACAATCTTAAGAATTTGAAATGTAACTTAAAGTATGGATAAGCTAATAAAGCTGCCTGTAAATTTCTTGCAAACCAAATAATTAAATCACGAACTTCTATTCAATGATATACAGAATAATTTATTACATACCAATGACCAAATCAAGAGCTTACATGGTAAATTGGTTTATTTTTTAAATGAACACAATACATATATACAATATTATTTTGCTTGTATTATCATCAGATTTCCCCCCCCCCCATAAAAAAACAGGAATTGATCAGCACTTCCTGAAGACATAATGATCTAATAAACAAAATGAAATGGGGAAAATACATTCAACACATCATAGTCGAAATTTTTCTAGACTAAAAACTTAACCTATACATTATAGCATGTATGAATTAAGAAAAGGTAACTATATAATTTCCTGAGTAAATCAACACGATTGGATAACTTCCTGAGAAAATCAACACAACTGGATAACTTCCTGAGTAAAACAACATAACTGGATAACTTCCTGAGGAAAACAATAAAACTTGATAACTTTGAGTAAAAGAACACAACTGTTAAAGAATCAAAGGAGAAAGTGAGAGAGGTAGGGGTTACTGAGGGAAAGAGAAAGGGGCCAAATGCTAGTGCAGGAGAACGGGGCAAAATGCTAGCGAACGAGAAAGGGGGCAAAGCGCAAGTGCGGGAGAAGGGCACAATGCTAGTGAGGGATAAAGGGAAGGGGGTAACAAAGTAAGCCTGTGTGGGGTAGTGGGGAGCAGCAGAATACATAAATATGTACTTGATACTTTGATCTCAAAATGAATCCCTCTAGCTACTAACAAATTATAGGAGAAAAATTCTATTTGTTCAGGTAATGAATGCTTTATGTTTTTCCAGTGAAACTGATGTTTAAAAAAAGGCAGTTAAGCAATCATAACCAAAACAAGGATATTGCATGTCTACATAAAATTTGTACTAATATGGCTACCAGTCTTAACACACTGGCAAATTCTCACGCTTACTCAACAAATTTGTAATCTAAGTGTTTCAAGTGAAGAGAATGACTTACAAGAAAAGGTCAAGCAAGAGCCAATACCTTGTTATTATATAGCCATTAAGAAAACTGAAATGAAACAAATTTGTTAATTGTATTTCACATACATGCAAAATACGTAAAAACAAATTCTCATACGACAAAATTGCTCCCATGCACCAAAAAAATTAAATGGTATATCAGTAGTTTATTACTGGGTGCATGTGAAACTAACAAAACTAACCATTCACTTCACCCATCCTTACATCACATGGTACTTCACTTGCCTTTACATCATTTGGTACCTCACCCACCCATAGATCATGTGGCATCTTCCCCCGACCTTAGATCATCTGGTACCTCACTCACCCTTAGAATATTTGGTAGTTAACTACCAATAGGTCGTGTGATACATCATCCATCCATAGGTGAAGGGACCTGTTTTTCTATACAATACAGTACTATTTTTCTGAGTTTGCCAACAAAAGGGCTTCAGTTTGAGACCAAAATTTACTTTATATATATTAAGATTATATTACTTTAACAGAATAATATAATCAAACTAAACACAAAAGGGTCTACTTCACTGAAAATACCCTTTAGTTTGTAAAGTATAATTTAAACATAAATGGCTGCTCACCGGGTAATGGCAAAATTTTTAGAGAGGTTATTTAAGTGCATACTTAATCACGAATGTCAGACCCTAAATTTCCAGTGTCAGAAATTGAGCAGAACCCTCAAATAAATTGTTTAAAATATCTATGCATGGTTCAGCACCTCCACAGTTCAACCAGTGCAGGCATTCTGATCAAAATTAAGATACCATACTCACTAAGTGTGTTTAACCAATTTTTTTTTTTCACAAATTCACATTCATTAATAAGGCTTTATATAAATTAGCTAATGCTGTGAAACATACAGGTGACCTTTAAATCCTAAACTAATACAGTATCTGGACTAGAAAATAATATTCACAGATTACTTAAAATATAAATGAATTGAACAATTAAGAAAAAATTACAACGTACTTCCAACTAGCACAACTCGTCACAAGAGGAGTTTCCTTAGTAAGGGTTACTCACCGGTGCTGTTTAAAGCGTTATTTCAGTCATTACCATTTTTCCAACAGTAGTTAGCATTTAATTTTGCTTAACTGTAGGGAAGGAGGATAATGCCATTGTTTTGAGGCTGGAGAAGAACTAACCATCTGTGCACAATCCTGATTACAGATGTCAGTAAAATCATTTTGGCCTAGTGGGCCTGAAATCTGCTTGTGACAAGTATCTGAGGTTCTAAGAGATTCAGGTAAAATGTGATCCTGATCCACTTGCATCCCACTTTTCACTTCAATATAAGTCTCTGTTTTTTTGGCTTTCCCATTTAAATCATGAGAGATTTTGCATTCATTGTTAATTATGATTTCTTGTAAATTGTCTTCATAGTTATGGACAAATTTTGAGAGGAACATGATGAACTGTTTCTCATTCCTGTATCCTTTCATCAGGAATAATACATACATGTCAGCATAACCACAAACTTTGAAAACTTTCTTCTTAATTTCTTTGATACCTCTTGAGGTTGTATGCATTTGCAGAAACAGCCGATTGAAGGGTGGTAGTGTAACAAGCAGAAGAAAGACAACTGTCATGGCAGAACACAGGATTATTACTGCTAGCCACAGCCAGATTATGACAAATATTTTCTCATAGAGCTCCATCAGCATTAGATGACATCCCAGGTGATCTATTCGTGCATTGTTAATCAAGATCTGACGAT